GTGGGATCCACACCCAAAGCGCAGTGCGAGATGTTCCGAGAGGTGTGAGAAGCACTCATCACGATGCCAGCTCCGAGAATGCCACCAAGCTGAGTGTGCATGCAGGAGATGTTTGATGAGCCACATTGGCACAATCAGGAGCCACTTCGGAGATCCTGAGGATCAGCAGGTGGAGCAGATGGTTGAGGTGAGCGCCGAGCTGCATGAGAAAGACCAGTGGAGCCCAAAGACGATACACTACGATTACTATACTGGAGAGCCTCTGGATGAGGACCTGTATCAGAAGGGTCGCGACGACGAGCTGCAAGCCATGAAGGACTACGGGGTCTACGTGGAAGTGGCGACATCGACGGCGACTGACGGCAAGCACATTGGAGGTTTCCCGATAGCCCACATGAAAGAAGGAAAGGTTAGGTGGAGGTTCGTAGCCACCGAGGTGAACAAGTACGAGATCAGGGAGGACAACCACCAAGGCACGCCCCCGCTCATGATTGTCAGAGCGACGCTGAGCCGTGCCGCTTCAAGTCCAACTTCCAGCGGGCAGCACCTGCGGAAGATACAAGTCTGGGACGTCAGGAAGGCTTTCTTCAACGCTGACTTAGACGAGACGATCTACGTGCATCCTGGGAGAGAGCTGTGTCCGCCTGGAAGGTGCTGGTGGTTTCGCAAGGCCATGAACGGTACCAGGAAGGCGTCGCAGATGTGGGGTGAGCTTGTGAGAACTACTATGGACGACGGCCATTGGGAATGCTTGGTTGGAACTCCTAACGTGTTCTACTTACCTGCTAGCCCCAACACAGCCCCCGTCGACGAGGATAGCACAGCGATCTGCCATGGCGATGACTTTCTTGCTGAAGGCTACGACGAGCAGCTGGACGAGCTCGACGAGTTATTGAGGCAGCAGTTTGAGGTCACGGCCAGCGCCAGACTTGGACCAGGAGCGGTGGGGCAGACTACATACCTCAAGAGGACGATCGGCTATACTGACAAGTTGCCAGGTTGCGAGGAGCCAGGTTTCTTCTGGACTGCCGATCCCAAGCATGTGGACTTCATGATCAAGTGGACGCAGAAGCGAGGTTGTAAACCAGCTCCTACTCCAGGAACGAAAGCTACAGGACAAGGACGACGAGACAGCCTAGACCTTCTTTCCAAGGATCGTGCTCGAGAAGTGGCGGGTGCAGCAGGCACCGCTCTTTACCTTTCTTCGGACAGGCCCGACACGATGTACGCCAGCAAGACAGCGATGCAGCATGTCTCCAACCCGAACGTCTTGATGCATGCGCGTGTTCAGCGACTTGGAAGGTACTATGAAGGCCAGCATGTGTTGGTCTGGTGTTACCCACTTCAAGGTACTCCTGAGGGCATTCGTGTAGATGGTGACGCGGATTGGGCACCTACGAGTGAACTACAGCGGCGATCTACCAGTGGAGGAGCTGTGAGGTATGGCGACCACACTTGGGACTGCTACTCAGTGACGCAGAGTACGATAGCCCTAAGTTCAGGGGAATCCGAGATGTATGCTACGGGAAGTGCGACAGCCAGAGGACTTCAGTGTAAGACTTACCTGATCGAGACCCAGAGGCCCTGCAACCTGAAGATCTATAGTGACAGCACAGCTGGACGTGGCATGTGCAGCCGAGTTGGGGTGGGCAAGGTCAGGCATCTGGAGCTGAGGTACTTGTGGATTCAGGAGCGGTTGCGTCTCAAGGCGTTCGAGCTTCACAAGGAGGACACCAGCAAGATGACAGCCGACATGCTCACGAAGTACAGCGAGTGGCCGACAATCGAGAAGCATTGCACCACTCTCAACCTCAGGTTCGGAAAGCAGTTGACGGGCTTGAGCGCAATGGCAGTTTTCACGGAGGTCGTGACGAAGGCGTCAGGCGAGAAGGTGACAGTGTACGGAGGTTCTGACGAGGTTGCGGTTTGCCCCGCACCTGTCAGCCACTACGTGGACCGCGAGGAGTTCTGGTTCTACCTGATGATAGGACTTGTTGTGGTGACTGCAGCGAGTGCTTTCTTACTGGGGTGCTGGTGTGGTTGCTACTTCAAGAACTTCTACGACAAGTTCCTCCTCCAGGGTGCGGTTAGCCCCGCCTCTGGAAGCACTTGCCCACCATCTGCGCGGGCTGACGTCGAGTTCAAGACCGTGTGTGCACAGCAGGACAAAGGTGCAAGGCACAAGCTCTTGAGCACGTTTCTTGTAGCCGAGCTGCGAGCTGTCTTGAAGGCCAAGGGCCTGGCCGTGTCAGGGATCAAGAAAGACCTGGTCACGAGGATGATCAAGCACGGATGTGTTCTGTCAGATCGCCAGGCCAAAGAGATCGAGCAGCTGCGGGTGATGGCTACAGCGTATGGACCTCTTGCCAAGCTCAGCTTGCAGGACATCAGCAGTCCAGAGGCCGCGCAGAAGTGGATCGAGACGTTCAAGGGCGAGTGCCGAGACCGTTCCAGAGGCTCTCAGGTGATCCACGGAGAGGGCTAGGAGAATGGTCGCAGGAAGCACTACGACAGCCGAAGGTGAGCTTTGTTTTACAGGCTGCGGTTTGCCCCGCGCCTGCCCTCTGCGGTTAGCCCCGCGGTGAGTTTAGGTGGCCAGCGCCGTTGCAAGGCCTGCCAGGGGAGCACAAAGAGGTTTCCCTACGGCTCACTTTTCTTGGCTGGAGGCCGAGCCGCTTCCGGCGCCCAAGGAGAGGTGCTAGGAAGTTTGTAGTTTTACATAGATATGTGATTATATAAAATATAATCAGACTGTCCTGGAGGATCCAGGAAATCCTGCAGCCCTTTGTTGCTCGAGGAAAAGAGCGACCCTCACCTCCCCCCTTTCTCCGCGAGGGGGTGGTGTGCGCGGCAATATATATATATATATATATATATATATATATATATAGATATTGTGCAGTCTATGTTAAGCAATCCATATGGTGCAATCAATATGGGGAAATATATGTAGTGAAGTCTATGTGGTGCGCAACCCATTTGGTGCACAACCCATGTGGTGCAATCGAAGTGGTGCAATCTGTGTGATGCATTCTATGTTGTACAATATGTGTGGTGCAATCTATGTGGTGCAATCTACGTGGACAATCGACGTGATGCAAGACATGTGATTCAATCTGTTTGTCAAACTTGTATATATTCCCTTTGCTATATTTTGTTCCCGTCGCCGGGGGTGGGACCCCCCCCCCCTGGAAAATCGGACCCCCGGGATCTGGCGCTTTTGGGGCCCCCTGGACGCCTTGCAAGGGGTCCCCCGGGCCTTCCGGGCCTCCTGGACGCCCCTGCCGGGCCTTGCCAGCGGGCCCAAAGCGGTCAGGAGGGCGGTCAAACGGCCCCGCGAGAGCCCCACGCGGCCCCAGACAGCCCCAAGACGCCCGAAGACGACCCAAAGAAGACCCCCAAGAGGCCCTCCAAGTGCAAAAAAACAACACTTTCCTTTCCTTTCCTTTCCTTTTTTGGTTTTTTAAAAAGAAGGAATTTTTGGACATTCGGTTCCTCGGTATTCCGTGCGTCCGAGTCCGCCGAAGAGGCCCCAAAAATCCTCCCACAACGGTGTCAAAGGGCTTCCAGACAGTCCAAAAGAGCCCCAATATGGTCCAACAGGGCCGTAAGATGGCCCCAAGAGAGCCCCGCTGACAGCCCCAGATGGCCCCAAGACGCCTCCCGAAGCACTCCAAATCGTGACCCGGTCGTTCAGGGAGACCGTGGTTGGTAGCAAGGTGGCCGCAAGAAGCCCCCAGAGGCCCCCAAAAGGAGCCCAGGAGGCCCCCAGAGGTCCCCAAACAGCTTTTGAGAGGGGCCCAGGAACACCTCCAAAGAGGAGCCCCTGCAATAAAGACTGGGGATGAGGACAAGGAGTGGCTCGCAGACAAGGAAGATTACGAGTAAGAGGAGAGGAAGTAGAAGGATAGTACATAACATTACTATAACGACGATGGCGCAAACGGCAACAATGAATCATCGCTATATTTGGCTCTCCTGCATGCCGAGCTTCAACAACCAAGGTGCATGGCGCGAAGCGCCAATGTAGTCTTGTATATATATATATGCTTCTCTCACCTGTTTTTGTGCACTCCGCCAGGGAGCTTGTCAGGCCAGGACCTCTGGGGGCTACTCAGGGGTCAACCCAGGAGTTGGGAGAGGTCCCGTCCCTTCAGCGGCCTCCAAGGGCCTCCCAACCCGCCTGGCACAGCCGTGGCGCTTAAGCACCCGCGCTGCGTCCCAGACGCGCTGGGCCCTTGCCCCGCCGGGAGGTTAAACGTCACCAACCCCTGAACCCCCTAGCTCCCGTCCTGGCAAAAACTCGCGCGGAGGCAGGCACGGCCACGCGCGAGACGGTAGCAATGCTGCCCCCTGTCTGTGGGTGGGCCAACACAGCTACGGAAGATGGATGAAACTCAACCGTTATCCATCAACGGCGTCGCGCACGCTCAGGTGGATTCCGCATAGGTTTCCTTGGAAGGTTCATATATGCTTCTCTCACCTGTTTTTGTGCACTCCGCCAGGGAGCTTGTCAGGCCAGGACCTCTGGGGGCTACTCAGGGGTCAACCCAGGAGTTGGGAGAGGTCCCGTCCCTTCAGCGGCCTCCAAGGGCCTCCCAACCCGCCTGGCACAGCCGTGGCGCTTAAGCACCCGCGCTGCGTCCCAGACGCGCTGGGCCCTTGCCCCGCCGGGAGGTTAAACGTCACCAGCCCCTGAACCCCCTAGCTCTCTCCACGGTCCCTACCCTGGCAACAGCCGCTCCCTCTTGCTCTTACTTATGCCCTCCACCTTGTTGTAATGAAATGAGGGAAGAAAGGTGGAGGATGGGCGGGACAAACAGACAGGCAGTTCAAAGCAAGAACAGTCCATCTCGCCTCTGCTTGCAGGCGCGCGCGAGCAGGTTGCAGCGCCTCCGCTGCGTGGGCGAGAGATTTAATTGAGTGGCTTCGGCGACGGCATCATGGACATAAAAGCGGGCCGTGCACGCCGATGCCATCTGCCTCGGAGCAGCGTCTGCTCATGGAGCTGTGGCTGCGGAAGTCGGCGGGGGCGCCTCCCGACGCCAGCTGTAAAGAGTGAGCTTGGCATCTTGCAGCTCCAGCAGCTCACGCATGGGCCGAGAGTGCTCATGAAACTGCTTGGCTCCATCTCGAGGCAACAATCTTGTCCGTGCGCCTGAGCCTTTGCTCTGGCAAGGAGGGCGACCGCTACACCGCTTCGCACGAGCACGAACTGACGGGCACCAGTCTGATGCTGGCTCTTGGTGTTGCGCAGCTGCAGCACGGTCATTTGGCGGACTGGATACAGCTGTACATCAGACCACACGAACGAGGTCATCTCACCCGTTTGGTGGAAAGCGTCGTAGCCTGCTGCCAGCACCGCCGCAGCGCCACGCTGGCCCACGGCCGCCAATGCACCTGCGAACGCTGTTGTAGGACTGATCGGCAGCGCTCGCGCAGCTGGCTCCAGGCGTTGCCGTTAGGCCAGCGCCAGCTGTCTCGCAGGTGCCCTCGCACGGGCGGGAAAGAGTGCCTGATGCCTGCAATTGCATTATTAACTTCAACTAAAGATCCTCCGCTCAGCCAACGGCTCTCGATGAAGGCGACCACGCCAGCGTCGACCTGAGCGGGCGTCTGCGGCTGGCGGTGCTCCTGAATCCAGAAATCAACGACCTCCCCGACCGCCGCACGGTACCGCCGCAGGGTGAGCGGCGTGACCATCGCCTCCCTCAGCGGCTGGGTCCTCGCTGCAGCTCGTCGCGCCATCGCCTGGGCCGTGACCCGGCTCACCTTTGCTGCTGCTTGCGCTGCACGCTTGCCAGGGGCGGCTCTCCTGGCTCTCGCTGGCGGCAGCACTGGCAGCGTGGCAGCGGCGGCCATAGCTCCAGCGGGGCGGCGTGTCGGCGGGCATGTCGACGGTGTCGCAGTACTTGTACAGCGGGTACCCGGCCGTCGCGAGGAGCAGGGAGTTGAGCTGCCGGAGCGCGGGCTGCAAAGTCCTCACGCTCGATCTGCCCTTGGTGCTGACTGCCGTGAACGGTTGGGCATCCAGAATGTGCAGGTAGCGGCAGCGGTGGTTCTCAACTGCTCGGCACCTCCAGCGCGCTCCATCCACCGCAGCCTCCAGCACCAGCGCCGAGATGTGCCCGGGCCGCTGCCAGCTCAAGCCTGGCTGCTGGAAATCGGGGACCACGTTCCAGCTCGCCTCAGGCACGGGCAGCCGGCCCTGCTGACGCCTCGCGTCCCAGATGAGGCTGCCGTCCCCGTCGTTGTCGACCTGGTAGCGGTAGCTGTCGGCAGCCCAGCGCTCCGCGGCCAGCACCGAGGCGCGGTCGGGGCCCACGGGCCGGAACGGCGGGTGGCGTCCCGGGATCGGCCTCGTGAAACACGGGAGGTCCGCCTCTGGGTCCAGCGTCGACCAGCCCTCCAAGACCGAGGCATTCAGTGGGAGCCTCTCCACCACAAGCAAGACCTTGAAGTACGCGGCCTCACCCACACCCTTGGTCTCGACGGTGGCGTCGGACGCCGAGAACGCCGTGACGGGCCACGAGCACCAGTACAGGCGCGGCCGCTTGATGAGAGCGTGACACCTGGGACCGAGGAACACGGGCGTGACTCCCAGCGCCCTGGTGATCTCCGCCCTCGACTCCAGGGTCATGCTGGACACATTCTCGACGAACACCATGGTGCGCTTAGGACAGGCAACCTCCGCTGCCTGGATCAGCTCGGGGACCGGGACGAAGAGCTTCGGCCTCGACCCCTCTAGGTCGGTCCCCACGACATTGATGCTTGCAAGATCTCGGCTCGGGCTTCCCGCGCACAAGACGACCCGGTCGGCGTCCCGCGCATAACCCTTCAGCATCTCCGTGAACCGCACCGTGTCGACGGCCTCAATGAGGCCAAGCTCGATCACGCCCGCCCAGCGGCGACACACCAGTCGCCGGGCAGCGGGCTCAACCTCGCAGCTGACGGGGGCGATCACGTCGTTCGGGAGTCTGGAGGCCTCCACCGCGGCCCCAGCAGCGCCTGCGTATAGCTCGATGAGAGCTATGCGAGGGGGCCACCGCGCACCACGCACAGGAGCCGCAACTGCACCAGGCCGCAAAGTCACTGCTGAAGCTCCCCCCCTCGCGCAGGCAACGCCCCGCGCCGAGAGCCCAGCCGTGTGGCAGATGCCCCCAGCGCGCTCACTGGCATCGGTCGCAATGACACAAGTGTCGATCTTTGCGCGCAGGTCGGTGTATGCCAGCGGCAGCGCCATCGCGGAGTCCGAGAGCTCGTCGCACATGCCAAGGGGAACAGCCTGCGGTCGCGTCCAGCACCCAGCAGCCCCCACGCTGTTGAGGAACCCCACAAAAGGCCTCCTGAACTCCGCTGCCCTGACGCACCTGCCCAGGACCATGAGCATGCCCTGCGTCGAGAGGCCCTGTCTGCCCACGCCCCACAGGATGAGCGCGAGCAACTGGTGCAGCTTCTCGGTCGTGACTCCAACATGGCCGACGGCCCCGTCAAACCCCGCGCCCATCTGCTCCAGGACCAGCGCGCGGTGCTTGACCTTGCCGGGGGCGACGCTGGTCCCCGAGCAGCCGTAGGCGGCCCTCTGCTTCTCCGGGGCGCAGCTCACCGCGCCGATGAGCTCCGCGACCATCGCGCTGGGCACCACCTCGCCATGGTCCCAGTCGTCGATGCAGTACTGGACCCACTGCTGCTCGAGCCCCCTCGACTTGAACGGAAGTGGGCGGTCCTTGTGCCACTCGAGATCCGCGGGAAACCCCGCAGCGAGGGGACGAGAGCCGACCCCGAGGCGCCTGTGGCAGTGCTGAAACACCGAGTCCGCGTTGATCCAGCCCAACGGGAAGACGAGCAGCGCGAGGTGTGTCTTCCCTGGACCCGGCACACCGATGAGCTCGCTCGGGATCGCCTCCGCGAGGGCCACGCATGGCTGCCAAGCCTCGGGCAGCTCGCAGCCGTAGAAAGCGGAGGCCAGGTCATCTGAGGACCCGAGCAGCATGTGGCCCTCTGGGAGCGGGACGGCGACCCACGAGGGCGATGCACTTAGGGTCCCAATGTCGTCCCTCATGATGCGCTGGTAGCTGTCGGCCGGGACCATGTTGATGATCAGGCGCTGGACGCACGCCTGGCCGGGTGACCGCGTGCCGCCCTTGGCGTCCCCGAACGCCTCAGCGAGCACCCTGCGGCTCCCGACCTTGAAGATGCGGTCGTCGGCGATCGACGCAGCCAGCCCCAGCTCGACGAGCTTGGTCCAGATGCGGTACCACTCCTGCTTGGACGTGACCTGGATCGCCGCCCGCGGGACCTCGGCAGGCGACTCATCCCGAGGGAGCAAAGCCAGCGTGGGGCCGGCAAGCCAGGCGCCCGCCTGAGCGTCCGCGAGGTCGACCGCCTTGACCGATGCGGGGACGCCCTGCGCGGGGAGGCCTGGCATGTAGCCTGCAAGCGAGAGCGGCGGGGCGCGGGACGTCACCTCGCCCCCGTGGGAGTCGGTCTTCGACGCGATGACCTGGTCCCAGTCCGGGAGCTCGAACGCTGCGGCAGCATCCTGAACGAAGTTCACACACACCTCCTGCACAATGCCGAGCGCACTGATCTGACCTGCCGCGGGCCGCCTCGCGGCGACGGTTGGACAACGCATGTGCCCCATGTACGGGTAGTTCAGGCCGAAGTCCACGAGCAGGGCCCACCCCTGCGCCGTGGCGGCGTCCACCTCGCAGGTCTCCGGCAACTGCTGGTGCAAGTGCCAGGCGGCACGGTGCCTCTCGAAGAGTGGGGCGTCGGGCAACGGTAACGGCGACACCTCGCGCAGCCGCGCGAAGCTGGCCGTGGGGTCTGGCGAAGTGCACATCTCACAAACATACCGCCCGATCGCCCCTGGCGAACCGTGCACCGCCTCGTGGACCGCGAGGGCGAGCCTGAACTTGGAGCTGACACCTGTGCCCACCTCGGCTGGCATCTGGCGCCACCGCCGAGCCCGCGAGCTGCCGCGCAGCTGCCGCTCAGGCGGGCGGAGGGCAGGCGGGGGCGAGCGCGAGGCCGCGGCCTCCGCAGCGTCAGCCCTCACGCCCGAACCCGGGCTGTCCTGCGGGCAGTGCTCGCGCCGCGGCTCCTCCCCGTCTTGCCTTTGCCGCGGCTCTTGGCAGCCGGCGGCCTCCCAATGTGCGCCTTCCACGCCGCCTGGGTCTCGCCCTCGCGCCTCGGGTGGGCCGCCTTGTGCTGCGCGAAGCTCCGGCCTGCAGCCGCGTCCGCTGGTGGCACGCGGGCGGCGGCTGCTGCGTCGAGGTCCCCCTCGGAGTCGCTCAGGAGCTGGACCGACCGCGTGGGACTGCAGCTGGTCCTCCGCGCTGCTGGCGGCTTCTTCCCGGCGCGGAGAGCTGCTGGACCGTCGCCTGGGTCTCGTCCGGCAAGGATCCTCATCGCCTCGGGCGATCCTGAGACTGGCGTCCCGGGAGCAGGGGGCGGGCGGCGCGCCTCCGCGCGCCCATGGCCTGCAGGTGCCGTCCCCCCCAGCAACGGAGACGGCTCCCGGCCAGGCCCCCAGCCCGGCCTGCGGTCTGCAAGTCGCTGGTGGTGTTCGGCGACCTTCAGCTCCCGGGCCTCGACCTTCTCGGCAGCGTTCACCTCGTCCAGAGAGGTGCCTGACGGAAGCTGTTCCTGCGCGACCAGCGTGAGCCATCGTGCCGATTGCCAGTTTCCGTCGCGGATGGCCATCGACCGCGCCTTGAACTCCAGCACGACCAGATCCGCCGCCTTGATGACCTCCCCGCGCAGGATGCCGTCGAGCGCCAGCCCCGGCGGGCGGAGGTCCCGCCCCTCGACTGACCCCAGCGTCTGCGGCGGGTGAGCATCGAAGAACACCGTGTTCAGGAACTGTGCGACACACGGGGCCCGCAGGTCGGCCTCGCCTGCAGACAACTGCTGAGTGAACTGGCTGCGCAGGTGGCCAAGCCCACTCACGAGGAGAGCGTCGGGCCGCTGTCAAGCAATCCAGCCGAACAAGTCGCGCTTGCTGCTCACGCCCTGGTAGCGGTCGCGGCCCCCAAGGCGCCCTGTGTCGCTCTCCGCGCCGTCCTCCACGTCGTCGTCGGCGCGGTCCAGGAGCGCCGCGGTCACGGCCGATGCTGGCCTGCTCCTCCTTCCCGAGGCGCCAGTGCGCGCTGGGGCAGCAGCGGCGGCTCGGCCAGCAACCTCCTGTGCCAGGCGCTCGCCTACGGCTCCTGCCGGGCGCGCAGCGTTCTTGGGCGTGCCCTGCCTCGGCACACCACGAGCTGCCCTGCCCTCCAGCCGCGCCAGCCGCGCCTCGAGCTCGGGGTCCTCGGCGGTCTCCTCGAGCCCGGCGATCTCCTGGTCGAGTGGGCTCGCCTCTCCTGGACCGCCCGGGGTCTGGGTGCCCTCCACCTCGCGGGCGCACTTGTGCGGAGGCCCGCGAGGCTCCTCCTCGACTTTGTTGCTCCCATCCCCGAGCGGCCAGCCGCCGACCTCTCCAGGCAGTGGCTCGGCCGAGGGCGCGTCGGTCCGCACAGGCGCCCCAGGATTCGCTGCTGGGCAGATGAGCTTCGCCTGCTCGCGGGCCACGCCGCGGGGGTCCACTACCTGCCACACGACCAAGTGCTCGACCACAGCGCCAGCTGGAGCGACCGTCCCGCACTTGTTGGCGCTGCACCTGCAGAGGTGGAAGACCGTGGCCGCGGGGCGTGCGCCCCGCTGCCCGCAGGTGGCCGCCTACCATGAGATGTACGGGTCGCTGGCGCCCACCTGCCGGGCCTTGATGAATCTGCCGAAAGTGTCCGCCTGGTAGGCGACCTCGACCTCGAGCATCTCGACGCCCTGCGGCGCCCCTGCGTCGTCCTAGACCCGCGCCAGGACCCGTGCACCAGCCCTCGGCGGCAGCCCCGCCACCAGCTCGTCGTTCAGCGCCGCGTCGAGCCAGGCTCCTCTCGGGAAGGGCCACCCGCCGGCAGCTGGGGCTGCCCGGTCCATCGGGCTCCTCGCCAGCAACAAAGCGGGAGAGGGGCGACCCGCGCCCGGGATACTCGTCTCCCAGCCAGGTCTTCGCTCCCCTCACCCCACCAAGGCTGCCAGCGAGACTGATCAGAATCAGTCGTCTGAGCGTGGCCCTGCAAGCGGCCGCGCGCGGCGCGGCAGTATTTCAGTAGACAGAGTGGCTCGGCAGCGGCCACAGACGGGCGGCACCGCCCGGTGACTCCGCTGCCTGTCGCAAGCCAACACAGCTACGGAAGATGGATGAAACTCACGTTATCCATCAACGGCGTCGCGCACGCTCAGGTGGACTCCGCATAGGTTTCCTTGGAAGGTTCATATATGTGTGTATGTGTTATTGATTTATACGTGTATTCATTTATGTATGCACTCAGTTACTCATTCATTCATGATGTGTTTAAGTATGTAGTCAGCATTGTGACAATGATTGGTGTCAGTATTATTAGTCGTATTAACATGCTGTTAGTCGTATGATGTTTCGTCGTATTAGTAGTCGTATCTTCAGTATTATGAATAATGTCTTATTGTTAGTACTACAAGTACCATCGTTATTCGTAGGATCCTTACTGTTATGAAGAGTGTTCGTATGTTTTCTATTCGTAGTGCTCTCAGCATTCGTGTTGGTATTATGATTGTTGCTATTGTAATTCGTCTCATCCTTATTCCTCCTCCTCCTCCTCCTCCGTCTCCTCCTCCTCGGCCCTCCCCCTCCCCCTCCCCCCTCCTCCTCCTCCTCCTCCTCCTCTTCTTCTTCTTCTTCCTCCTCCTCCTCCTCCTCCTCTTCCTCCTCCCTCCTCCTCCTCCTCCTCCTCCTCCTCCTACTCCTCCTACTCCTACTCCTAACTCATAATTCCTCCTCCTCTTCCTCCTCCCCCTCCTCCTCCTCCTCTTTGTTTGCGTCGCTCACCTGGCAGGAGGTGCCGTGGCAGTCTCCCATGATCTTGGCAGCATCGTGCCACCACGTGGAGCTCCCCTCTCCTGCCTGGGTGTTCGCACCGAGCTCGTTGCCCAGGCCGTGGAGGTCGTCGTTGTTCTCCCCCGTGGACGGCAGAGTGTACGGGACCTCTGGGGGGACGAGGAACGGCATAAACATTCACTTTGGGAGGGCCGCGCGGATTTCCTGGATCCGAGCTACCCCCCCTCCCTTCTTGGCGCGCGGAGCGCGCCAGGGGCGGCGCCGGAGGCGCCGCCAGGGGGTCGGGCGCAGATCCAAGGATCCAAGAAATCCGCCCGGAACTCCGAAAGTTCATTTGAATCCAGGTCTGCTTCGAACCTTGTAGCCACCAGTGACTGCAATCCGAGCTCCGTTGTTCGAGTACCACCAGTTGAAGACCAGCCCACCGTTGGCGCTAAAGATTGGGTCTCCCGGGACGCTGTCCCCATCGAAAGAAGATGGCATGTCCGACCCGACGTGGGTGTCCGAGGCGCTGCCATCTCCCGTCGCATATATCCTCCCTGGGTTCAGGTCGTTGAAGTAATCCTGCATCGGGAAGAACTCGGTGAGCTCCCACGTCTTGGACATCTCGCATGCACCGTTCGAGTGTCGAGCGATCGTGATGTACTTCACTGGGGTGGTCCCCACAGTGCTGTCGACGAAATCGTTTGTAAGGGCTGTGGCAGCGCTTCCAGTACTGCTGGCCCAGGGCCCAGCGTACCCCATGTTCGCACCATCGCAAGGGTTGACGTTTGCAAACAGCATCCAGGGGTGCTGGGACGTCGGAGCTGGCGTCGGAGGATACGTCGGGCTGGGCGTCGGGCTGGGCGTCGGGAAGGCCGTCGGGTAGGCCGTCGGGTAGGCCGTCGGGTATGACGTCGGGTAGGGCGTCGGGAAGGGCGTAGGGTAGGGCGTCGGGCTGGGCGTCGCGGCTGTGCACGCCTGGATATTCGTGACATAGTGCCAATTGGTAGAAGCACCTGTTCTTGCAGTAAAGGCTATCTGCTGACTGCCAACGGGTGATGAGTAACTACCAATCGTGGCAGTTCTGTAGTAGGATCCTTCGTCAAAATTCAGTATCACACTCGCGCCGCTGCCGCTGGGCGTGACCTCCACAACGACATCGTGCCAGGTAGAATCCTCGAAGAAAAGAACGCTGTCGTCCGCCCAGTGGCCCGAGCCGATCTGCTGAAAGATGGACCCTCCGTTCCAGCCCATCACCACGCCGTGGTCGTCGCCGTGGACGTGGTCTCCAGGGGCGTCACCACTCTTGTAGGAGTCGAAGCACACGGAGAAGCCTTTGTCGGGAGCGGCCAAGAGGGGGGTGTCCAAGAGGGGGGGGGGGGGGGGGCGAAATCATGACCGGCGGCATGTGAGCGGCCCAGCGGGGAGGCCAGGGACGTAATGAAACAAGAAGAGGCGCCATGAAATCTGGGGAAAAATCATCGCCCCCGCCATGATATCCGCCCCCCCTAGTCATCACCCCCTCTTTTCCGCCCCCGAGCCTTGGGGAGCAATGTTCTCGCCCGCCTCGCCGGAGTCAGAACCGCCGTACTTCATGCACAGGCCGTCGGCGCCTCCGGAGGACACGGCATCTGGGTGGCCAGGCTTCGCGCGTCGGGCCCCGCAGTTTTTACAAAGGAGGAGGAGGAGGAGGAGGAGGAGGAGGAGGAGGGCGAGGACGAGAAGGAGGAGGAGGAGGAGGAGGAGGAGGAGGAGGAGGGGGAGGACGAGGAGGAGGAGGAGGGAGACGAGGAGGAGGAGGAGGAGGAGGAGGAGGAGGAGGAGGAGGAGGAGGGCGAGGAGGGAGAGGAGGGAGAGGAGGAGGGACGGACGAGGAGGAGCCGGAGTAGCCCCCGCGCCCTCGCGCCGTCCCCTCGGAGAGGAGGGCAACCCCGCGCTGCCTCAGACCGCGACCCGCGGCGCGCGAGGCGCGAGCCTCTGCGCGCCCCGGCGGGCGGCTCGCGCGCAGCCCTCTCTTTCAGTCGGGCCCGTCCCTCGACAGGGGGACGATTCCAAAATAGCCCACAAACAGTCGGGGGACGACGCTTTGACCATTTCTGGGCATCCTGGGGCCATCCTTGGACGACTCTCAACGTTTCGCCCGACATCCCCCTGTAGGGGGACGGGCCTGACCTGACCCTATCTGGGCAGGGCAAGACCGCTCGGGCTCGGACCGCGACGTGCGAAGCGCGCTCCGCTCCGCGCCCCCGGCCGCCGTCCTCCTGCAGCTCCCGCTGCGGGAAAAGCGCGGGGGGGGGCTCGCCCTGGCACCCAGCCCAACTGCCGACGGCACGCAGAGAAGGTTCCCGCTCCTGCTCCTGTTCCTGCTCCTGCTCCTGCTCCTCCTCCTCCTCCTCCTCCTGCTCCTGCTCCTGCTCCTGCAAAGGAGAGACAAGCAAACGAGGACGAGCGCGCAGGCGGGAGGCCGGGGCCGCCGGGACGAGGCAGGCAGGCAGGCGGGCAAGGGGCTTCGCGCCCCCTGCCGGTGACCGAGGGTACAGTCGTAGGGGAACGGAGAGTGATATGAGCACAAAAACTCGGAGGTCCCCCTGCCTGGCGCGCGGAGCGCGCCAGGGTCGGCGCCAGTGGCGCCGCCAGGAATGCCCAGCGCGGATCCGAGAAATCCGCGCGGACCTCCGAGTTTTCAGGTTTATGTCATTGTTCGCCCCCCTGAGTCAACCCGTATAATAAGGACGCACGATATGGATGAAAGGGCCTTGGAGGGCCATGTCGACACTCTGCGAGCGGGGCGCGGCCAGCGAAAGCGGCCAAGGTTGGGCCGAAGGGGAAGGAAGCAAGGGCAACCTTGGAAAATCGCACATCCTAACTATTCGGGTTGACTGTCTTGTCCTCTCCCGAAGAGCGCGCATTTCTTGATTCGCGGCCAGAACGGGCGCTATATGGGGGGGAGGGGGGGGGGTAACAGGGGGGAGCGGGCAGAATGTAACGCCCCCCCCCCGACTGTGGTGCTGGACGCACCGCAATAGTGCCAGGGACGCACTGACGTGGGGGAACGTTACGCTATGGGGGGAAGGGGGGCATGACGCGCGTTACGGCCCAGAGGAGAAACATGCTCGAAGAGGTACGGTTGACGGGGAATGAGGGCAAGGGCAACCTTGGAAAGTCGACTCGTCCAGCGAAGTGCGGGTTGACCGTTGGCCGTGCTGTGCTGTCTCCCGAAGAGTGTACGGTGTTGCCGGGGCTCTCGCGACGGGAACCGAGGATGATGCCAGCATGAGACACAGTGGGGGGCGGGAGCGAGAAAAGCAAAGGGTGAACACAAGATGACGAGCCCTCCTCTCACATGTGGGCTTCTTGGAGGAAACCCTTCTGTCACAGAGGGGCCTCTGCACACATCACACGTCGCCCTTCTTTCGCAGAGGGACCAAACTGTCACCTCGTCTCGGTTTTTGGATTGCAGTGGAGGCCCGACCACAAGAAACTCCCACGAGGAACCCAACGCGGAGACCCCAAGAGACGTCCACTGATCCTTGGTGTGGGAAGCCACGAATTCCACCGCAAAACCATGGAAGACCAAGAACCCATAACCCCTGAGGCAAGCAGGGTGTCTCTCGGCATGGGCCCCCACTGTAGGAGAAGGAGGAGGAGGTAGAGGAGGAGGAACGAAAGATGGGGATGGGGAGGAGGAGGAGGAGGAGGAGGAGGAGTAGGAGGAGGAGGAGGAGGAGGAGAACGACGAGGAGAGGAGGAGGAAGGAGGTGAGAGGAGATGAGAGGAGGAGGAGGGGAGGGAGAGGAAGAGGAGAAGGAGGGGGAGAAGAGGGAGGAGGACGGAGAGGAGGAGGAGGAGGTGGTAGGAGGGGAGGGGAGAGGAGGAGTGGAGGAGGGGAGGGAGGAGGAGGAGGAGGAGGAGGAGGAGGAGGAGAACCTAGCCCTGGACGCCGCTGGGCAGGCGCAGAGACGGTGGCACCAGGGCCTCGGGGGGCGACGAGAAGGGCAAAGAGCACAAGTGAAGGGGCCCTGGGACACACAAATAAATACGCACAAACAACAGGAGTCCCTATACTTTCCCACATGTTCTGGATTTTGGCCTTCCCCCCCACTTCCCATACTTCCCCATATTTTTCGGGGAAGCGACGGTTAATTGTGTCTGTGTTTTCTCCCTCCTGAACGAGGGATAAGTCAATACAATGGGGGCCGGTCCACAAGAAACCGTCCACAAGAAACCCAGCCCGGAGACCCCAGGAGACGTCCATCGTTCTTGGGCGCAGGAGCACCACGCTTGCCACGTCAACGCCGTCGAGAGCCAAGAAACACAGGGCAACTCGGAGGCACGCAGAGTGTTTCTTGGCATGGGTCCCCACTGTACGTGCATCCAGGGTTATGTTGCTCCCATCGTATTTGAGGACCACATCCCAGAAATACTTTCGAGCACCCATAAAAGTGTCGAAAGAGTGTTGAAACAGTGTCGGGCGAGTGTCGCCCAGGGCCCGACACGTGGAAACCCTCGAGCTTCGGTACTTTTTGGGGGAGCTCGAAACTCTTCCTGGCGATCAGGGCTAAAGTAGGCTGGAACATCAGAAATCCAGGGGCGGCGATGGTCCATGCCTTCGGCGACGCCTCGAAACATCTGCAGGCTCTGGGGCACGCTCGTCCGCGAAGCGCGAATCACTTCGCGCTCTCGCGCCGCCCCCCCCAGAGGGGAGAAAAGGAGGCCGAGGAGGACGGGGAGGAGGAACGGGGACCGCGAGGACCACGAAGCGCGAATGACCTCGCGCCCTCGTGGGAGCCCTTGCCTCTGCAGGCTTTGGGGCGCGCTCGCCCCGACGCCCGGCCCGGCGGCCCGCGGCGGGCGACGGTGCCTCCAGGAGGGCCTCCACGGCGGCGCCCGAAGTGCGGCCCTCAGGGCGCCGCGGACGGCCCGGGAGGGTCTCGTCAGGCTCCGCAGTGGCTCCACGAGGGCTCCCAACGTCGCGCTTCGCGCTGCGCGGGAGCGCGAGCACCTTCGCGCTCTCGCGCCGCCCCCCCCCAGAGGGGAGAAAAGGAGGACGAGGAGGAGGGGGAGGAGGAACGGGGACCGCGAGGACCGCGAAGCGCGAATGACCTCGCGCCCTCGAGGGCGCCCTTGGGTTCCCTCCGTGACCCCCGCGAGGGCCCCGACAAGCGAGTCGAGAACACTAGACAGTGGGAGCCCGGCCACGGAGACCTGCCACGAGAAGCCTGGCCCCGAGACCCCCGGGGCGTTCCCTGCTCCCTGGGCGCGGGAGCGCCACGCTCTCCACGAGGAGCAGAGCCATCGGAACCCGAGAAACCCTCGGGGGCGTCCAAGGGGGGGGGGGGCGTCCAAGAGGGGGGGGAGCAGATCGTGGCCGGCGGCATGTGCGCGGCCCTGGGGGGCGTCCAAGAGGGAGGGGCGTTCAAGAGGGGGGGGAGCAGATCGTGGCGGCGGCATGTGCGGCGTCCAAGAGGGGGGGGAGCAGATCGTGGCAGGCGGCATGTGCGCGGCCCTGGGGGGGGGGGCCAGGGACGTACTGGAATAAGAAGGGGCGCCATGAACTCCGGGGAGATATCAGGCCCCCCCCCCCCACCACGATATCCCCCCCCCACCCCTACGTAGTCACCCCCTCTGGGCCGCCCCCGACACCCAAGGGCACCCTGGAGGCAAGCGGGGTGCTTCTTGGCATGGGCTCCCGGCGTGTTGCTCCCCCCGCGGCTCTGCGCCCCCTGCCGTCTGAGGGGCAACGATCGGGGGGGGACTGGCGCGAGGGGGGGATGCATCAACCTGGGATCGGCGATACGTCGCCGATAGATCGGCGACAGGCCCCCGATCGCGAATCCGCCCCTTCCGGGGCAGGTTGGGGCTATCGGGTCCCTATCGTTAGGTCGGGCATGTCCCCCTACAGGCGGGCTTTGGACGAAGAATCGAAAATGCCCCCCAAAAAACTAGTCAACAAATAGTCGAAAAGTCGACCCCAGACTATATGTTTTGCCTATGTTTGATTACTCCTCCTGTAGAAGGGAATGCGGGAATGCCCGACCTGATCCTATCGGTGATCAGTGGGCGATGGGGGGTCGATGTATCCCCCCCTATGCCTCTCTCCCCCCTGTCGTTGCCCCTGACCGTCGCCCCCGAGCGCCAGTGCACTCGAGAGCTCGAGGGGGCCGTGCGGCCGGAGACCCAGACGTCCGACGACGTGACTTCTGTTCCGCGCGCAGCCCCAGGAAGGAACCCCTCCTCCTCCTCCTCCTCCTCCTCCTCCTCCTCCTCCTCCTCCTCCTCCTCCTCCTCCTCCTCCTCCTCCTCCCTCTCCTCCTCCTCCTCCTCCTCCTCCTCCTCCTCCTCGCCCCTGGCGCGCTCCGCGCGCCAGGGAAGGGGAGTCCGCGCCAATCCGAGGAATCCGCGCGAACCTCCGAGTTTTTGGCATTGCCTGTTCCCCTACAGTGGGCGTGGGGGAGGCTGGATCGCGCGGGGGTGCAGGAATGCGCACGCTGTCCTCCTTGGAGCGCGCGGGGGGGGGATCGCTGGAGCGGGTGGGCGTGGGGGGGCTGAAGCGGGCCGTCCGGCGGCGTGGCGTGGTGGGGGCTACTTGTTGAACGATCTGGGCCAACTAGAAAACCCCTCCCCGCGACAGTGCGGCACCCCCTGCGGGTGGCCATTGCAACGACCCCTCCCCGCGACAGTACCATACCCCCAGCGGTGGACAGCACAGTACCCCCTCCCCGCGACGCGACAATATGATAC